CAACTAATTTCATATAAGATTAAAGATATAAATCGAAGCAGTAAATTTAACGGTTTTAAGCATTAACGGTAATCCCCGACTCAAAATGGCGGATTTCGGTTTAATTTTTACAAACCCATTTTACATGCCATTTCATCGCTGATTCTTATGTAGTTTGATGAGGAAAAACAGATAAAAAAAATTAATTATAAGTAAATCATGTAAGATTAATTGACATAAATCCAAGTATCAAATTTCGCTGTTTAAACAATAACGGTAATCCGAGACTCAAAATGGCGGATTTCGGTTTAATTTTAATATACCCATTTTATTTCTGATTTTTATGTAGTTTGATGCGTAGAAAAAAAATCAATTACACACAACTTCATGTAAAATTAAATTCTTATATCGAATCTTCAAATTTCATGGTTTTAAGCATTAACGGTTGTCCTAGACACAAAATGGCGAATTTCGGTTAAATTTTCCCATACCATTTTATTGTTGATTTTAGTTTGATATATAGGAAAAGAAAAATTCATGTAAAATTAATGTCATAAATCGAAGCGTCATGTGTCACGGTTATAAGCATTAACGCTAATCCTTGGCTCAAAATAGCGGATTTCGTTTTAATTTACATACCCGTTTTATTTCTGATTCTTATGTAGTTTGAAGCGTACAAAAACAAAATCAATTACAACGAATTTCATGTAAGATTAATATAATATATTGAAACATCAATTTTAACGGTTTCAAGTATTAACGGTTATCCTAGTCTCAATATGGCGGAATTCGCTTTAATTTATTCATACCCCTTTTATTTCAGATTCTGATGTAGTTTGATGCGTAGAATCAGAAAAAAATCAATTATAACGAACTTCATGTAAGATTACTATCACAAATGGAACAATCAATTTTCACGGTTTTATGCAATAAATGTAACCCTATGCACAAAATGTCGGATTTCGTTTTAATTTACACATACCCATTTTATTTCTGATTCTTATGCAGCTTGATGCGTAGAAAGAGAAAAAAAATCAATTTCATGTAAGATTAATGTCATAAATCGAATCATCAATTTTTACGGGTTTTAAGCATTAACTGTTATCCTAGGCACAAAATGTGGGATTTCGTTTTAATTTATACATACCCATTTTATATCTGATTTTCATGTAGTTTGATGCGTACAAAAAGGAAAAAAACATCAATTACAACCAATTTCTTGTAAGTTTAATATCATAAATCGAAGCATCATTTTTCCACGGTTCTCTGCATTAAATGTAATCTTAAGCACAAAATGGCGGATTTCGTTTTAATTTATACATACCCATTTGATTTCTGATTCTCATCTAGTTTGATGCGTAGAAACAGAAAAAAAATTATTACAACTAATTTCATGTAAGATTAGTATAAATCGAAGCATCAATTTTTACAGTTTTAAGCATTAACGGTTATCCTAGGCTCAAAATGGCGGATTTCTTTTTAATTTAAACATACCCTTTGTTTTGAAGTGGTTTCACAGTGGATGCTTGTATTTGTACTAAGTCGGTCCTAAAATAGGTTCGACGTACAAAACGTTAGGAACTTGATATAATAGGTAATGACGCAGAGTAATCTTGTTGTGGTCGCTGATACTTTATTATTCGACTAACGGTCGTCCGGCATTGACTGACTGACCGAACCACTGAGAGTATTTAGTCACCCACCCCTACGAGGGCATCATGTGGCACAAGGCCAGTTTAACGTGGGATCTCCGAGCCCGTGGGCTCGGCCAAAAATATGCCCTTTTGACCCGTATAAATGTGTTCAGGGTCGGTTTACCTCCCCGAAAGAGAATCCGCCCTTCGGCGTAGCCTCGTTCGGGTTCCTCCCCGCCCGAAGGCAGAGAGTTCAACCGTTCAGCTGGTCGTCCGACTTCAGACTGAACACAGACCGACCCACTGAGCCCCTTGTTACTCTTACTATTCCTACTTATTATAGGTGGGAGAGTCTATTAACTATAGAATAGGTGTGTTTCACAATAACATCCTTTTTATTTCTCATTCTTATGTGGTTTGATGCGTACAGAAAGAAAAAAAAACTCAGTTGCAACGAATTTCATGTAAGATTAATATCATAAATGGAAGCATTAATTCACATGGTTTTAAGCATTAACGGTAATTCTAGGCTCAAAAATTTATATAATTTTAACTCATTCCGTCATAAACACGAGAAAATAATTCACTGTTACTAACCCTTTCTTGAATTCTACCCCGCACTTAATTTTGAAATTGCTTCTATGTGCACCCCACGTAGGGAACCACGTCTTTTTAGTTTTTAACCATATAGAGACTGTAGTATCTAGTTTTTAATCATTTTGTGTTGTCTTTTTTAATATATTTTGTATCTATTTATTAATCAATCCTGAAAAGATAGGCAACAGAATATATTATTGATTATCACAATATTAGATACAAATTAATAAATGAATATGTTATCATTTTGCATGAACTCTTTGACATTGTATAATTTTCATAACTCTTTCAATCATTTATTTTGTTTCTTTTTCAAAAAATTAGCCGTTTTTATTGTTTTCTGGAATTTAAAAAAATGTGAATATTGTTTTCTATTCAAATAAAAATCTATTTGGAGGATGTGTTGGTTTATATCTCTGTTGGGAATAACGGCTAAGCAAATCACCCTTCCCAAATTTACTTGATTGTATTCCTTTTGCATGTGAACATAATTCTTACTTTATGAAATTTTTGCCTTATTACTGTTATTTGTCTCGAATATTTTGCCCATTTACTTTTCTTCCATTTATTAAATTATTTATTGTGATCTTTGTCAGTTCCGCTTGTTGTGAATTTTGTCAATTACCCATAATTATAGCGATTTACTCCACAGTAAGGGCACAAACTTTCGACTTGATTAATATCTGCAGAATCAGAGTATCATTCTATTAATTTGTGTAATTTGAAACTCTTTTTTGTCAAAATAAAATCTATGCAGAACGTGAAGAAGAATTTGTCTTCCTGGAATATGACACATAAAAGGTTTTTGTTGTAACCTATAACTTGCCTTTTTTTTCATTTATCTTGAAACCATTCACAATTTTGAAGGGACCTATAATTCTACTGCCTCCAATACTAGCGGGAAATATTACGCCATCTTTCTTATCACCTGTCAGGTTGACTGAAGGACATAACCTCTCTCCCAAACATCAGGTTCAACCAATGTAGCTCTACATTCATCACAAAAATTCATCATTAAAACAAAATCATGTTCTTCTTCAATAAGCTTACACATTTTTATTTGTGATGTTTATTTATAGATGATAGCTTAGTGGCTTTTATGTATTTATCTACTGTTCCTCATATTCTTTTCTTTCTTGTTTATATTTATTGTAGAGTAGCTAGCACCCCTTCAGCACTCCATCAGATGGCCGGGCTCATACCCTTAAATGGTCTAAGATTAAAGACTTCAACAGTTGATTAATAAGTTGATACTAAGCTGATTAATATTCGGACTGATCTTACTTCGTTTTTCTATACAGCATTTGACTCTCTTCTATTCCTTATAAGTTGTCTTGTTAATTGTTTTGTAACTTATTGTTCTTCTTTTTATTATATCCGTTAGCATCAAATACTGGTGCTGAATAAATATAATAAGAACTCATTTTTCTCTGTGTATTTTTCACTTCGACGATACAACAATATTCGACGCAGCACATTCTTTAAATACCTTCTTGCTGTTTATGAAATTCACTGTATTCTCCTCCACATACATCTCAAGGGAAGAGAGCTCAGTTGTCACTTCTTTTCAAACTATAGCTAGGGAGATATGGTTACATGCCTGTCCCAGTGGTATTTGTGTAAAGGTCATTGTAACGTACTCAGCTAGCTGATTTTTATTTTCGAGTGGCTACAATACACATCCTGAATAATCTTAACTGAAAATAATTGTATTTTCAAGACCATTCATATTTTTAAAGTATCTATTGATTGATTTGTTTTTACGGCTTATCAACACTTTGCAGATTATATTTAAAGCCAGAAAATATTTTAGATTTTTGTAAGAAATTTGGGGAGATAATAATCATTTGCTGAGACAAATGCTACTAATTAACCCATAGCTGGGGGTAGGGCTAGATTCAAACTTTTCCCAAGGTTTTTTGCGCGTAAGTGAATGTAACGGAGTCGACTGGAATTCGAACTCAGAGACAAGAGCTCCAATTCCGAGACCTTATCCATTACACCAAATGCCCACCCAAACTTACAGAACATGGTATTCCCAAGCGGTTACCCAACTAGGTATTGACCATGTTCAACGTTGCTTAACTTTGGTGACCGTACGGTGTTTCAACATGATATAGCCGTAAGCTATACCAACCGCACATTTATGTTACGGCAACTGGTATTCCCAAGCTGTCACCCATTTAGGTATTGACCAGGCTCGACCTTGCTTATGGCTGACAAGAATGCAGATATCCATAATAACAGATGAATCGATTGCCCATTATTTTGGAATCGGTTCCATAAAATTGCACTCATACAGACACTAACACAATTAGTCATGATATGGCATTATATAAATAGATTACTTAATTCGCCCATCTCGCACAGTCCACCGACCATTTTCTCCAAGCTTCTGCCATTTTCAGAAGCCACCACTCCGACTATGACACCGGCTACTTATGCCAATTTTTGGCGCAAGCTAATTCGGATTTTAGTATTTATTTTTGGAAAAGTCAAGAGATTAAAATCGCAGCGAAACACAAACGTTGTTTTGCACTATCGTTTGTCGGTGCCCGTTGAACAGCTGGACTCCAGTGACCAGAAAAGTCAGTGTTGACCAATCGTGAATGTCGGCAACGCGTCCTAACTCAAATCCGCCTTGATGAAAACCTAACTATCTTGATGGGCAATCGACTCTTTTTTTCCCCCCTGTGATCAACGACCGGCTCATTAAATAAAGATGACTAATTTGGTTGGAGATGGTGGTGTAAAGGGTTGGGAGACACTCTGACCGACAGCTGGAAATTA